TATCAGCCTGCAGCAGACTGCAGCAGGTGGGAGGTGTCCCAAAAATGGGCTGAGAGGAGGGGTGACAGCTGGGGGACGGTCTCCTGCCTCCAGGGCCATGCTGCTGTAGCCCTGCTGCCTCCTGCCCCCCCCCAAATCACAGCTTCAGAAATATGATTTAAAATTCTCAGGCCATCGATCCGCGCTCCTCTGAGCCCTTCTCCCAGCAGCTCTCCGGGCGTGATTTGATTGCCACGTGTGCGAAGGTGCTGAGGAGGCGACCAGCTCCCTGGCCCCAATCTCAGGCTGACCCAAGCGGGGGTCTCTGCCTGCCCCCAGCCCAGGCAGGGCCTGTGGGGTCACCCACCCCACTCCTCACCTGCTTGAGAGACCCTGGCGTCCAGACGAGCTTGTACACCATGTAGAAGGGGACGCAGATGAAGGAGGAAGCTCCTATGAGGTACCCCACTGAGATGCTCCATTCGGGGTACTGGTAGTCAAAGAGCATCAGAGGTGGCGGGTCCAGGAGGGAGCTGATGACTATGAACTGTAACGAAGGAAGTGAAGGTCGTTAGGGAAGGGGCTGGACTGCAGCAGGACATGCCCCGCTGCCGGTCACAAGCAGCCCAGGGCTGCAGCAGGGCCGTACCGCCCGCAAAACCCACATGCACACAGCGTGGGTGGCCAGAAAAGCTCCCTCAGGACGGCCGGGCACCCCCCGGCAGACGAGCCCCGTTGGCTCCCCATGGAGAGCAGCTCAGCTGTGCCATGTCCCCAGCCCCGGCACCCGCTGCCACCGCTGCCTTCCCACCTGCGAAAGGCCAGCGGGGACGTTGCGGTGACACGGCCCGGACAGCCACCCCTCGCTAGGTGTGGGCTGGGAGGTCTCGGTCTAACAAACCCCACCGAGGCGGTGGCTGCACGTCCTCGTGCAGCTGAAATGAAATCGTTTGCTGTCTGCTTTGATTATGATACTTCTCTCTTAATAACCTGAGCAAAGCGCTCAGAGCCGTAATTAATCCTCACAAGGCCTCTTCTCCTGCAGAGCCGGCGAGATTAGACCCCTCTGCCTCTGCAGCCGGCAGCCTTTGAAGTGCCGGGGGAGCTGGCGATTCAAAGGGGACGGATCCGGCCCGGCGCACAGCACCGCAGTGCCCTCAGAGATGCAGCCGCGGCCGGCGTGGGGTGCCACAGACCGGGAGGGTGAAGTGAGGCTGCGCTTGCAGCCGTGTGAGCGCCCGGGTGCCAGCTCCCAGCTTTGCCCTGGAGCTGCAGAAGAGGCTGGAAAACGTACTTTCAGCTCCCTTTCTTGGCAAAACCCGCTGGCCCGAGGGCTGCGGGCAGCTTGTCGTTGCCCTTGGCGGGAGCAGCAGCACGGGGAGGCGGCAGGGAGGGCTGGCAGGAGGTCCCATGGCCCCAGCCAGGACCTTGGTCCACCCTCCCAGCAGCTTTTTCACCCCGTACATGCGAGATGGGAGTCACCAGCAGCGAAGGCTCCCGGGGAGCTGGGCAGCAGCCAGGGAAGAGCAGCTCCCCTGCGGGGCGTTCAGAGAGGGGTCGACAACTTGGTCTTTAATTCGGGCTGTGGATACTCACCGCTAACAAGGCGGGGCTGATGGCCACCCAGCACACCTTCCAGAACATCCCCGGGGTGAAGCCCAGCATGGCTTTCACGTCATGGGAGAACCTCTGTATCCCTGCCCGGGGAGAGAGCTGTCACGGCCCCGGAGACCCACGGAGGACGTGGGTACAGGGCTGTGGACCCGTCACCCTCTGTGCCCCACCCCAGCCTTGCCAGGACTCACACACGTGCTTCTCCCCCCAACCGCCCTGGTGTTACACACGTGCGTGAGGTTAAACACCCGGGTGGGTGCCTGCAGGGGGTTTTTGGTCACAGAGGCAGTTTCTCACCGTAAAACCAGGAGACAGCTATCGTTTCCAGCAGCACCACTGCCAGGATGGAGCAGCCAGCACCAAACTCCTCCAGTAGCTTCACCACATAGGCTCCCCCCTGGAACAGCACAAGGGAGGGGAGGGAGGGGGCTGCTGACCCCGTGGGGATGCAGGGCAGCTCTTCGGCAAAGTCCTGCGCCGGGGGCAGTGAGAGACCTGAGTAGGTGCGTGGTGGGGAGGGGAGCGGTGCCCGGCGGTACTCACGTGGGTGAGGGTGCTCAGGGAGCCCAGGAAACAGACCGTGATGAGGCCGAGGACGAAGAGCTCCCGTCGCCCGGCCAGGACCTGGGGGTACTCGTCCATCACGGCCGTGATCACGGCCTCCAAGCCCCCAAACTGCAGAGGAAACACCGACATGAGGTGGAGAAACAAGTCGTGGGGCCGGTCCCGTTCTTGGAGAAAACCCGCTCCCCACAAGCCCCCTGTGCCCAGGACAGCCCGTCCTGTCCCCTCCCTCCGCAGTGACCATCCCCTCTGACGGGCTTTGGGGGAGGTCAGCTCGGCCCCACAGGAGACAGTGGTGTGGTGCTCCCTCCATCCCCAAGCTCGGAGGGCTCGGGCAGGCATCCTTCCTTACCGAGGCCATAGGTCCCCTTGTCACCCCGCTATTCCCCGTGGGACACGCTGGGGACACGTCCCCAGGCTGCATGGCTGTGCTGTTGCGCACGACGGAGTTCCCTACCGTGCTGTCCAGCCCCAGCGTTATCATCATCAGGAAGAATATGATGGCGAAGAAGGTGGATCCCACCATGTTGGCGATTGCTTCGGGGTAGGTGATGAAGAGGAGGCTCGGCCCTAGGAGGGGACACCCGTCTGGTTCGCCGTTCCCCGTCTGCTCTCGCACAGGCCTGGGTGCCGGCAGCAGGGGGAACGCGCGTGGGGAAGACGCCCCTAGGCCAGAGTGGC